AAATATTTATTTATTTATTATGTATACAATATTTATTTATTATGTATACAATATTCTGTCTGTATGCCTGAAGGCCAGAAGAGGGCGCCAGACCTCTTTACAGATGGTTGTGAGCCACCATGTGGTTGCTGGGAATTGAACTCAGGACCTTTGGAAGAGCAGGAAATGCTCTTAACCGCTGAGCCATCTCTCCAGCCCCGGTTCATATTGTTTTCATGCAGGCCAGAGGTGATCCTATCACTTTGCCATGTCTTAAACACAGCGACAGGCCAGGACAGCTGGCCAATGAGCAGTGTCTACACTGCAAACTGGAAGTGCACGGTTTCCTTTTCTTTTTAAAATTTATTTACTTTTATGTTATATACATTGGTGTTTTGCCTGCATGTATGTCTGTATAAGGGTGCTGGATCCTCTGGAACTGGAGTCACAGACAGTTGTGAGCTGCCATGTAGATGCTGGGAATTGAACCCGGGTCCTCCGGAAGAGCAGCCACTACTCTCAAATACTGAGCCAGCTCACTGAGAGCCCTGCCTGATTTCCATGCTGTGTGTGGAGAAGGAAGTAAGGCATCCCTCGTGTTTTCCTGCATTCATTCAGAAGAACCAAGGAGGAGACAAAACAGTGCAAGAGAACACGCGGGTGCAGAGAAGTGACATACTCACATCCAGGGCGCTCCCCAGGCATCTCTGCCACTCATACGCGTATCTCTCGTTTTCCTGTGGGTTTTATAAAAGGAACTGAGTTCAACAAGGCAGGCTTGAGGGTGCTCTGTTTATGACTTCACTCAATACAAGGCTTGGAAGATTCCTTTCTACTGAAAGCATGCTTGCAAAAGACAGTTATCCTTCAAAATCCACTGAGACAAGAAATATGAAATTGAAGGACCTATTTTACTGCTACCTCTCTGTGTAAACACCACCTCATTTGCTCCCGTCAGTAACAGTGTAAGCTTCTACCGGTCACCATGGAGGTCTCTAGTATATGAGCTTGTGCCATCCTACAGCTTTAGCTAGGCGCAGGGGCGTACCCCTGAAATCCTAGAACTTGGGGGGCAAAAGCAGGATCACTGAGTTTAAGGCTAGCCTGGTCAACATAGAGAGTTCTAGGCCAACCAGGACTACATGAGAGTGTCCCAAAACAGCAATAAAATTGGGTGGTGGTGGCGCAGGCATTTAATCCCAGCACTCGGGAGGCAGAGGCAGGCAGATCTCTGTGAGTTCCAGGCCAGCCTGCTCTATAGAGTAAGTTCTAGGACAGGTTCCAAAGCCACACAAAATCAAAATCAAAACAACAACAACAACCCCCCCCACGCCCCCAAACTAAAGACAACAATAAAAACCCCACAGAATAGAACCTCAGTTTTCCATTCTCCAGTTCATTACTCTGTGTGTGTGTGTGGTGTGTGTGTACACTCGTATGTATCACAAGGAACAGGGATGGAATTAAGATACCATACACAGAAATAGAAAATCCAAAACATTTTTTCCTTTTCTTTATATTGATGTTTAAAAATTCAGTAGGATGATAAAGTATAAGTTTTGGAAAAGATTTTCTCAAACACTTCTGTCCTTACAAAGTCCCAGCAACAACTTCAACTTTAGCCAGGACTTCAGTGGCTGTCACACGCAGGGAGCATGCTCATTCTGGCGTCCAGAGTCTCCTCCTCACCCCTCCCCTCTCCCTTCCCTGGGACAATGGAAAAGCATTCTTTCCTGGAGTGCTCTTCCAGGAGGCTGCCCAGCTTACCTCCACCTCGCCAGTCAGGTCTTTGTACTTGTCTCGGATGACGGGCAGCGCCGTCTTCTCACTCAGAGTGTTGGACCGGTCTCTGAAAGGCTGCTCCAGGGCCGGTGAAGGAGAGGACCGGCTTATTTCTTTATCTCCGAGGCTTAAGCTCCTCTTGTGTGATCCTGGGTCGGGGAGAACAGTAGACACAAAGGTTCTGTTACTCAGCCTGGCTGGAGCAGGGGTCTGTTTGCTGATGTGACCATCATTACAGGTGGCCATGTCGGGAAGCGTTCTGAAACACAGTCTCCTCACTCTGTCTGGGAGGTTTCCTTCCTCTGGTTCCTCCATTCTTCTCTGATCTATCACCACACTACATAATCCTAAGGTCTGAATCACTGGCATCTAGATGCAAAGGGACTTTCTAAATACGGGTGTCTAGGAGCCACGAGACC